AGCTTCGCACCATCGACGAAGCCTTGCACGGCGACGTCTCGAAGCCCCTTCCACGGCCGGCAAATTGCCCTGCATTCTGGGGTTTAACAATCGCCAGTAGCCTACTTTCTAGCGCCTTCCCATATTTGCAGCACAACATCGTTTCCTGGCCGAGGTACTTTTCCCAGAAGAGTACCAGAACTTCAAGCAGGGAATCTTGACTGTACTTCCGGGGAATGTGGGGAAGGATAAGCAAAGCGGAAGGCTTGGGAGTGAGAGCCCTCCTCGGGATTGCGTTTCGGACCCTGTAGTCAACCAGTCTTTCGTCCTGAGAACATGATAGCTCGGGGGCCGCGGTCGCTCGGCCGTCACACATAGGCCCCATGATGCCCCATGCTGACTTGAAGTCGTACAAGTGCGCGAACCGAATAATCAGGTGCAGAATTTCGGGGTTGAGTCTTGTGGCTTGTTCCGAGAGGCGGGCTTGAGGATCCACCCTGAACCCCTGAAAAACCCAGGGACCAAACCTTGCGCCTTCGCGAACAACTCACGCCCATGCAATTCTGGAGTGCTGGGGCTTGAAAACTAGTAAGTTTATGGGTTGGGTTGTTGGGCTACTACCAGTAGCGAGGATGAAAGGGTCTCCGTGCAGGGGTCCAGGAGCAAACAGTTGGGACAAGAGCTGGCTGTTGCCACTGCTGGTAGATGCGACTTGAAGCTATATAATGCGGCTCGCATTGATTACGGTTGTTGATACTGGCCTCCGGCCCGTTCAAGGCAAGTACGTGCGCGATGATTGCCCTATCACCTGACGCTTGAGAGCTGCCTGTGTCACTGCTAGGGATTGCTTGGGGTGTTGCGTCAGAAAGCACTCAGCTCATCATTATGTATGATTTCGGTCTTTTGACTGAAGGGCGGCGTTGCGTCCCGATTCTGTTAGGTAACTGTGTATTGGGGCGTTGGGCTTAAATTTGAGCACTATCCTGTATTCCTAGAGAGTCAGGACAATGTCATCGAAAGTTTAGGTCGTGGCTGCGCATGTATGGACGGTCGGGCCTGCTGCCCGCTGCTGGACGGTGACAGACCTGCCTAAACATGCACTTGCAAGGTATTTTCGACAACCGCAGCAGCAGCAGCAGCAGCAGCAGTAACAACGGTAACAACAGCGACAGCAACAGCAGCCCGGTCATCAGTACCAGCATCAGCACCATCATCACGATCGCCGTCGTCGTCGTCGTCGTTGCCGTCAGCATCGCCCTCATTGTCATGATCCCTCGTGTCAACCACCAACCACAACAACTGCATCAACACCACGGTCAATATCATCGTCACCGCCGTCATTAGAAACAGTGCTGGACTGTTCTTCATCGTCTCTATCATCACCTTCTTCACGACCATCGCATCTGTACTTTCAGGTGCAGATACATCCTCACAGTCAATCTCGACATCCGGACCACCATCATCCTTGTCACCCTCATTTGCATCATGATGCTTTGATATTCCTGGTATTGATGACATGAACGCTGCCAGTGGTCGTGTCCATTACCGTCGGATTCATCAGCGGCAATGACATGATGATAATGATGATGGTCATCATCACCAGCCTCATGATGATGATGGTGATGGTGATGGTGGTGATAATGATGATGTCTATCACTACCATCATCGCCATCACGACTGCCACCAGCACCGTCATCATCGTCGTATTCGTCAGCGGCTGCAGCACCACCACCATCTTAAACAGATGCACCTTCAGCAGTAAGCACACTGGCCGATCAGTGTGATGTTCGAGGATGGAGCCAGAAGCATGGACCTCTGAGAAATGCAACGAGTGAAACAAAGCCCACTTCATCACGCCCCGCGCAACCCCAGAGCGACTCAGATTAACAGCGGTCTAGACACCCCCTATAGACAGCACAGATTCCTCATTGACTGTATATGTTTACTCGGCAGTGACGGAACACTCCGGGCAAGCGGGAACCGAAAGGAGAAAGGATAACCCTAAGCCTAAGAACCCAAAACACCTCCAAAATTCGTGCAGGCCGATCTCGTCCGTGTTTAAGCCTTTCACTTACACCATGTCGCAGAGGGATGGTTCGGCATCAGAGCTTTTGACACCTCGTCCCCCGATGGATGCAGTCTTCAAGGTTGCTGGAAAGCTCATGGATCGCAGGATGATCCTCACCCGTATTCTAGTTGCTTGCGGTTTTTGTGGCTTTGCAGTGCCGGCCTCTACCATTCCTTTCCCGGGCTCAGTGGTTGGGTTTCATGTTCGAAATGTTGATTCCTCCCTTGCGTCCGCGCTTCAAGAACTGAGCTTGCAAAGCAGGAAAGCAAAAAGCACAGCAAAAGAGGAGAACGAGCTGGCATGTCTTTTTTCTGGTGAAATGTTCTGATTCACTGATTCGGGCTTCCGTAGGCCAGGTTGTATGGCTGTTTGGGGTATAGAGGCTGTGAACATCTCTGAATGTGTGCATCTCAATGCAGTTTTGCTGTGTCAGCAGGCCGTAAGCCAACCACGTGTTTGGTATTGGGTGAATTCTTACGGCGTTTTGTATGTGATTGTATGTGGAGACATCACACGCTGTCGGCTCTTTGGAACTTCATGTAGACCGTCGGCCCCTCGAGGCATGAAGCGACCGTTGGTAAGTTAAACTTCTTCGTAAGTTGGGGTGGGTGGTTGGGATGCACAGTTTTGGCCCAGTGCTCAGTTGTTGCATTTGCTACGTTTAATCAGTTTAATCATGTTCTTTTTGCATCTAGTTCCGTCTAGTCAGAATTGAAGCTCATAGGGTGCCTGCCGAACAGAGATAAGCGCAGCCACTGGGCTTAGCTGGCCAGAACCCTGAGTGGGCCAGGGCTCGAAAGAAGACCCTCGACCGCATCTTCCGGTGTTTGTGGTCCAACGCTGGTCAATCTTTGACGTGCTGATAAGAGGCCGTTCGAAGACTTCATGGTTCCCTGCCTGTGTTTAGAAACTGCGCCTCCGAGACCCCACTGCAGAGGCGCGAGAGAAAGTTCTGGGACGGTCGCATGCATCAAAGATAAGCTGACGGCATAGCAATCTTGTTCCACGCAGTGCCAACTCCCATCGAATTTGCCAAGTCTGCTTGGTGAAGATACACCTGTCCAGGCTAGGGGCATAGTGGCAAATTTGTGCGGTTCCTACACTTGCAAGTGGGAATACTGGTGGTGCTGGTGCTGATGCTGGTTCTTGTGCTGGTGCTAGTGGTGGTGGTGGGGGCAGTGTGTTGGCGGTGGCGCCAACTCGATGCATGAGACCCAACGGTCGATAACACAAGTTACTGCGACAGAATGGCAGCTGACACCGAAAGCTGGCATCGGCTTAGCGGTCCATAGATTGAGGGCGAGCCCGACTCCCACAGCTGTGAGGCAGACATACAGCTCCCAGTTTCATAGGCACAATGCCAAGGCCATGGATGACCTGCTGCATGGGCTGAGCCTTCTCGGCCCGCGCATTGAGCAGCAGGGGTGCCCAGACAAAGCTTCGGGTTCAGGCTTTAGGTGCAATATCAGGACTCGGGGTTGGGGGAGTTCCACAGGTTTGGTGTTGGATCTGTCGACCAGCTCCTCAAAGCTTGGAGCTTTTTTACCGGCTGGCTGAGAGGGGCATGAGGCCTTGATTGGTTTGCACAAGGCCCATCCAAACACGAAGGGGCTTGCAATGCTGACTCCTGGCTGTGAAGGATGTCGGCCCAGCTTGAGAAAGTTTCCCAGGAGGCACGGCGTGCAAAGAGGGCTGGTTGCTAGGAGCCCTTCAACGTCCTAGACTCGCCGTTGATTGTGAGGTGGTTGAGCGAAATATGGGTGTGTATGCAGTGTAATGTGTTAAATGCGCTCTATATAGATACACATGGAAACATGCTGTGCGTGCAGGTCGCATGTGTGCATACATGCATATAGAGGCTTCCCGGATTTGAAAGCAAGTCCCGACGGTCCCATTTGTTGACTATTGCAACTCGTCCGTTGCTGAAGGCTTGCACGACAGCGCTATCATGAACCGCACCGGGCATGTTCGAGTGTGATCACTGGAACAAACACTTAGACTGTCCGAAGCACAATCAAGCTTGACAGGCACTCAGGGAGAGACCCTTGAACCACCTGGCATGATAGCCCTCGCCCGGCCTGTCCGAGTTGTCAGAGTGCAAACCACTTGGCATGTCGGTGTCTCAATGCCGGCATGGATTCGGGGTTTCGGGTTGTTTGAGATTTCACGGTTGCTGACAACTACTTTGGGCCTGTAGTGCTTCCGGTTACAAGGATTGCTTCAGTTTGGGTTTGGGAGTCTTTGGAAGTTTGGTGCGCATGAACTCGAAAGTGGCTTTGGAGTTATGTTCGGCTTCTGCTCGACAGAACGGGCGAGGGCAAGCCCATACATTCATAGTCAAATTTAGGGTGTAGAATCCCAGGAACTATATGACTACATTACTCCTGTAGTCTAGGGCTCCCAAATGGTTTTTTATTTAAACAAAACCTGGGAAGCACCGTTACGTGGTAACATGCACTAATCGTCTACAGCATACTAGTCACTAGTATTGACGGTTCTGCAGAAGGGTCCCGCATGTTCTGAATCTCGCAAAGAAATGTTCTGCAAACCTGCAGCACCCCGAAGCAGACAAATTGTGCGGCGTCGACACCACTCAGACCGAGAAACTTCAGACTACTGCGGCAGGTTGCCGAGCATCGAAACCTTCTCGCCCTGAAGGCAGAGCAGGCAGATATTGGCCAGCGGGTGCCCAAGTGGTCGGTCTTCCACATGTTTGACACACCCTAGCGGTGAGGCAAGCGCAACTCCCTATCCCCCAACCCCAATCCAAGCTTAGGAGACGAGGAAGAAGAGCATAAATCACATGATTGCCATGTTTTGCCCACGGCTTCTACTCCAGATGCTGGTCGGAGTCCCAACCCGAAAGAACCCCCAGGCCCTAAACTTCCCAAACCTTGCTTGGCTGGTCCGAGTGTGTCAGAGCCAGACCCTGCAAAAGATCCTTCTGCCAAGGATGCGATCGCAGCTGGGGAGCTTGGGTCACGGCCTGGCGCAAAAGGTGGACCAGCTCGTGGGGGCCTCGACGACCTCGGGAACCCAAAAGGCTTCAGGGTTACACTAACAGCCTTCAATAGTGCAACGTGGAACCCGTTTAAGAGGAGGGTTTTGGAATGGTTATGGCACCGGGAAGGCTGCCACTTCATCGTTGTTACAATGGGTGAATGTAGTCGGTTGGAAGAGTGGCCGCAAGTGTTAATTAAGTCCCGGCACAAGTCCGATAAGAACGCGATTCCAGGCATCCAGGAGCAACCTCTGTGCAGAGGCAACATCTAGGAGTTTCCCGACCACCAACCTCGCCAAGATCTCGAGGTTATTCTTTTCAATTCCATTTTGCACGCTCTAAGAGCTCCAACTTCCGCAGTGGACCTGAGCCCTCAGGGCCCGGACGACGGGGCCCGGGTCCTATGTATGGGGTGCGTATATGGCCTTATCACAATTATGATAAGGATATATACGCACCCCATATACAGGAGATAAGGGTCCACTTACCTGAAGTCTATGGTTGTATCCTCGTCTAGAACTCCCGAATCTCTGGGAGTTTGAATAAATCTGGCTTTGTTGCCAATTTTCCCATGTGGAAAGCAAGTGCTTGAGTCGTTTAGCTAGGGTCTGGAGTTTGAGAATTTCCGTAGGTCCAAAGCCAAAAGGGAGCTGAAGCATATCCCTTTTTGAGACTCTTAGGCCCGAAGCACTTGGCCTAGCGCGCATTGAAGGGCACTTGCAGGTTAGGACCAAGGATCTCAAGCCTGGCATCCAAGATAAACTAAACTCGTGCGCTGCCACGCCAAACCTTGAAACCACTTAGGATAGGCCTTGCCCAGTTTAGGTAAGTACCACTACAGCCCAACTTTAGCCCAATACATGGTGCAGCGCTGCTAGGCATTCCCCCCATCCCATGGTATCCTCCCGCCCCCTGTGGTTGCCTGCGGTGTGGGTCCCCCCCTCCCCTTTATTGGGCTATAGTTGGGCGGTGGTGGTGTAATTACCCACGGCAAGGCCTATCCTAACTAAGCCTCGCCCAGAATCTCCGATCATCTACAGCCCTAGACATGCATCACTGAAGTTCGTGCTGCCATTGCTCAGCTGATCTCGCTGTCTGCGGTGGCAAAGCCGCCAGCGAGCCTTGCTAGGTTTGTCCGAAGGCAAGAATAGCAAAAACGCCCCTGTACATGCCCAATCCACCAAAGCCCTAAGCCCGGCTCCAAACCCTTTACATAACTCTGCATTGTGACGACTCGTCCAAGAGTGAGTGCAGAAACCCGACTAGAAGGGCACCTGGTTGGAATACCTGTGCTCCTGGGCTCTTGCTTGGATAGCTGGAGGCTGGTCTCAGAGCCAGGTGCTCGAAACCGGAGCTAGACAGGTTTGAGTTACAGGCCTTGGGCCAAGGGAACTGAAGCGCTTATACGTAGAACGAAACGTTTGACAAATCTGGCGCCACAGCATCCAACCCCCCCAAAAAAAGAAAAAGAAAAGGATCGCGAGACCTCGGAGCCAGCAGCTTAGACGTGACCTGATCTCCTCACTGGGATGTTTTGGGCACAGGAGCTGTTTGTATTTGGGCGGGAGCTCTGATTTGTTGCGGGAGTTCGGACACTTATGGAGTGAAAAGCTTTGATGGTTCCGGCATATAGATCGAGGGGTTAGGGTGTTGGTGTTGTGTTCAGTAGCACCTACAGTCGAAGCTAGGCAGCAGACCCTATCTCGAAAAAGGGACGCATTAGGACCCCTGTATAGTGACATTGGCTGTATTATAGCCCAAGACTCTTGACGCATGGTAATTATAGTACACGATGGACCCTGAGGGGATAATCAAGACAGTATTGCAACTATCAAAGCCCTACTGTATGTTAGGTTTTCGTAGGTATCAGTGCTGAGTTCGAAATGCGCTTCACTTTGAAAGAATTCGTGGCGTGGTGCTCGTTGGCTCTTCAGCAACTGCAAGTTTGTTGTTTATGATTCGGACTGTCGTGTTCGGACCTTAGCCTGATGTGTGAGCTTTCCAAGGCTAGTGAGAAATGTTCGAGCTGCTGAATGCCCTTTAACATCCTATCATGCAGCCTACGGACTCTGCTTTGAGCCTTTGAGCCCATGTCCCAAAGCCAAGCGGCCATGATCCAGATTCGTGTGCCTAGTGCTCCGCAGAAAAGCAGCGGCTGAGGTTCATGACTACTGCGATGCAGAAAATCACCAGAATAGGCCCCGGACCAGTGATCCTCATTCCCAGGATTTCAAAAGCTTTCAGCTTTGTCAGCCTACGCCTTACGCATAGAGCCCTGGCCCCAAAGCAAGCTGTCGTGCATGAAAGCCCGGCTGACCCAACATACGAACAGTCTGCCTCTTTCGTTGAGGCTGGAGGGGATTCACATGTGTTAACTAGTTTTCTTGAATCCAGGAAGGTCTATGTGATCGTGTGGTGGCATTGCAGAGTTGCTTCTCTCACAGACCGGATCTCCTTGGGGCAGAAACTGCAGGATAGAAGTCTTCGATCGCTGCAAGTCCCAGCACAAGCTCCCCCGTGGCTCTGCCACCTTGACTTTCTACGGCGGGATGCTGACTCAGCAAAAGACGTCCAACAATATTCCACAGCCAGAGCCATCTTTGAGAGCATCCCTCCTGGCGTCCCTTCCACCCTCTTCGCTGAAATCCTTCCGACAAGTGAGCCCTAACCCCCGTAATCCCCACACCGTCCAATCCATCAAAAGCGGTGCAAGCAAAATACCGCAAACCAACACCCCGCAACCAACAATCTTCGAGACAGAAGGAACTTAAGCCTCGAGTGAAACTCCCGCTTCGCCCGGATTGTCCCATCTGAGAGACTTGGGACGAACCCCCAAAAGAATCTACACCTTACAACCCCGTAACTCCAGGGCCCAAACCCCTAACTGTTCCAACTCCCCCCCGCCCCCTCTCCAGTAGAAAGGACCAGAGAGCCGGGAGGTGAGCAGCTCGAGCACAAGGCCGCAACTGGGCGCCTGGATCAGCTCGAGGAGAGGCTGAGCAAGGCCAGAAGGGGCTACGGCTTATGGGGCCAAACGGGGTTAAGGGTTTATCAAGTTCGTAGGGTTCATGAGGGTATGGGGGGCCCAGCTTTGAGTCGTGGTGGTTGTGGTTCGTTATGTTTGTTGTTTGGTGGTGTGCTGCTGTTGTTTTGTTTTCGGTGCGTTGGCCTTGTAGTTGGTTGTATGTTTCGGTGAGGTTGTGCAGGCTTTGGAGGCTGTCTTGTTTGGGTTGTGAGGTGTTAACCGGGTTTTTGTCCGGCTTCTTGGTTTCGCAGGGTGCGGCAAGGGTGCGGCGGATGTTCTAGGGCAGCCCTCAACAGACAGGGGCCTTTAAGTGTCAGGACATGATATAATTAGGGTTTTGGACCATTTTGGGTTTCTGACCCGTATAGGAATCCCTAAGTCGAACCTACAGAACTTCTTCCATGGAGAGCGTCCCCCGCCCGCTGACCTTCCACGAGAGGTGCTCCAGGGCATCGAGCGAAAGGCGGAGGCAGTCTCGGGTAGTGAGGCAGTGAGGCTTTGCATTGTGGTCTGATTGCCATGTATGTTGTGGCTTTCAGATCTAGAAGCTCCGGGTCAGCTGAGGGCTTCGGGCTCAGGGCAAGAGGAGAGTCTCAGTTGGGTCAAAGTTGCACTCGGAGGTTTGATACTCTGCTCGACCTTGAAAGTACCACCAATCCAAACCTTTGATTTCTACTGTTTGTCTTCTTCGCCTTTCGCCCTAAGGCTCTCAATCTTCGTTTAGTTTAGCCGGGTAAAGTTCTGGGTGCCTTTGTTGTACACGAGGGAGATAGGCAAATAGCCAGCAGATAAATAGATTGACACAGATAGTTGGATTGCTGGCTAGCTAGCTAGCTATCTAGCTAGATAGATAGACAGATAGACGACAGAGGAACAGGGGATTAGAAGGAACACTTGTTGCAAATCTTGGGCGCAACGATCATCAAAACAACATACGACAGAGTAAACAGCGAACCCAACAGACATGCAGAGACCTACCTATCTGTGCGCAACTGTGTGTATGTGTATCTGTATTGTATATGTATGTGTACGTTACATAGCGAGAGAGAGAGAGAGATACACACACATACATACCTCTGCATGTGAAGACAGGCGGGCGGTGAGCTGCATACCTATCATACCTTACATTACCTCTTACATTACATTACGCTAGCTCTTGGTACGTCACCTTACATTGCAATATTCAATAGGCTCATTTGCCGTGCATTGCGTCCTTACGCTACATACCCGACATAAACGACACCTATACACATTACATCACACTACAGGGACATGATCACTGCACTGCGTTCCACTACATTGCACGGCGGTGCCTTACATCGTACTGGTACATAATTACTTTAAATACGGATACAGACATCAGTCGCTCACGACAAACTCACGAAGCGTAGAGCTTGCAGGTAGGCTCTCAACCCACACGGCTGTCAGGACATGGCCTTGCGGAGGCTTGAGGAGCAGGCCCCAGCTGGCATGAAATCACGGCATCGTTTCCGCCACTGGAGCGATTTGCCATCCGTAGGGGCACATCAACACCCAGAGATCGCTATTTCTCTTCACGGGACTGCTGTGGACTTGTTGCCATCCGTGCCCGCCAACTGGGACACGTCTTTTTGAAGCAGTAGGCGGCAAAGAGAGCGCCAAGTGTTACATACAGGTGATCGTCCTCGGCGAAGGTGTGGAGGGCAAGGTGCGTGGGGCCATGCTGGGGTTCAAAGAAACCGGTCTTCCGAGTCACGAACAGGCTCGGTCCCTCCCTGAGCCGGAATGAAGAAAGTGTGGGTCTCGACATGCAGGGGTTTTTGGCTTCCCCCGCTGCAGAGGTTTGTTTGCAAGGCGAGTTCTTGTGAATTGTGCGATAGGAGACGTCCTTGAGCTGCTTGGGAGGATCCGGCGAATTCTCAGGGGTTTGGTTCCCTTAAGTGGCATCTCGCTCTTCAGGCATACCCACATTCGTTGTTTTCTCCTCGGGGGCAGGCCGAGCGCAACGAGCTCCAGAAAGCCCAAGAGAAGCTGCAGGCCTCGCCTTGGCAAGCACACGGTGTTTTGAGATCAAGAGTTGGGAGCCAAGCAGGTTACACTCTTGTCTAGTTTGGGGTAACAAGTCCAATTTACAGGTGTTGCGTCGTCGCGGTCTGCAACAGTATGTGGGAGTGCTCAGCTTGACGACGGAAGTGATTATGGACTGGGGCCTAGGGCGCTCAAGAAAGGGAGCTCGCATCGAAAAGCAGTTGACAAGTGCAGATTCAACGGTAAACATCTGCATCACACTAAGTACACCACACCGGTGTGAATTCAACGCTAGGCGACTGAAAGACGTTTCTACGCATGCGACAGCAGCATTCAAAATTCAAAACTCCTGCGGGCTTCTGAACCGACTATGTTTGGTGCTGCGTGATGCTACGCACCCGTCTGCCTGTCCACGCACCACTGCGGAGACGATTTAAGGCAACTCGTTCGTTTCTGTTGGTCGCGGGTTTGTCCTTGACCATGACAACCGAGATCAGTTGCACGTTTCGCTGCAAGGCGGTCCTTGCCTTAGTTGTTGGTCGATGTAAAGCTTGCGAAGAGCCCCGGTAAGAGGACTAAGCTACTCTTTTTCCTTTGATTTTGCAAGAGCTAGCTAGTGCTGACGGGGCATGTCCCAATCGTCCCGAGACGGGGCATGTCATGTCCCATCCCGAGGTCATCACTGATGTGGATGGGACACTAATGCCCTTTGGCACTAACACGAAGATTTCGGAGACAAACCAGCTTGCTTTGAAGAAAGCATTCGATGAGGGCTTGGCCGTTTGTGTAGCTACTGGCCGTATCCCCGGCCCTTGGTATGATGAGCTTTGTGCCCAAGTTCCTTTGGGACCGGGGGTCTTTGCCAATGGCGCTCTCGTGCTGGAGCCATCTCCAGGTCCATCTTCACCGAGGATCCTTGCAGCCTCGAGCTTGCCTGCTTCTGCAATGCAGACCGTTCTAGAAGAGACTTCCGGAGGGCGTTTTGGCGGGCTCCGCATTTTGGTGCTGGCTGCCACCACGTGGGAGGGATCCCTGCGCTATGTGGAGCCCTTTGTTTTACCTTATCGAGTTTTTCAATCAGTGCTTTGAGCTTTCCGGCATTCTATTTAGGGTTTTTTTCTACAGGGCTTTCTTTCACTCGGCCTGGAGGCTTGCGCCGGAAGGCCCCACTTGGGCCACCGACCTCATCAGAAGTGCCGGGGAACCGGAGACGGTACTGCTTCCGACGCTGAAACCACTGAGGGACGTGTACAAGTTTGTTCTCTTCACCCTTCCCAAGGCGGGCATTTGCAAATCCCCTCTCGTGCACCCTATGGCCAAGGCGATTGCCATTCGGATCGCTGCAAGTCCACCTCTAGAAAGCCCTACCGAATCAGGGCTCGATGCCTGATCTAAACCGTGAAACCAAACCCTCATCTTCCCTCATCCTTGTCACCCCGAACCAGGAGGAAGGCTGGGCAGCAATGGCAGACGTTGTAGACTCATTTCAAAGGTCGCTGGCAGGCCACAGGGTGCAAAACAAGGCCACAAGATGGGAAGGTCAAGCTTAGATGTTGATGGGATGTCATGTCGAGGCACAGGGCTTCAGCGTCCATTGGAGGCTTCAGGCTGTTGATGTTTTTTCAATCATAGGGTGGAGTCCGAGTGGAGGATCCCATCCCAACGTCTTCGCTTCAGTCTGTCTGAAGTCTGCAGGCACCGGCGTAACGGTTCTCGACTGTGGCGCTCGACAATGTGAGATACTGCCTCCTGGGGTAAACAAAGGTGGGGCAGACAAAATCACGTACAACTTCATGCCGTCGGATATGTCCACCCTCGGTCGCACAGCAAACGACTCTACGTGGACAATAGACACAGACCCCCTCAAAACTAAAGCTTCTAAACCTTCGGGTCTAGCGGCGACGAGCCTGGAGTGTGCAATTTTGGAGTTGTAGATTTCTGTAGACCGTTTTGAAGAAGTGGGCGATTTCGTTCGCTCGCCTCAGCTGACCTCCCTACTGCTTGATGATTCCTTTTGTTGGCCCCAGTTTACCTGTGTCGTGGGTGGTTTGAGACCTTCGCGCTGCCTGCATAGTTCGAGTAGCGGGAGGCTTCAACTAGTTTTCACACTGGCCGCGCCCGATTGACCTCGACTGTTTTGGCAGTTGTGAGAGTGTAAACCTGAGGGTCATCAGGCTCCGGAGTGAAGAAGTTGCTCGAGGTCCTTGGCTTGAGTCTGGACTCCGCTTTGGCCTGCGGGGATGCGGAGAACGATGTCGAGATGTTGGAGATGGTAGGCTTGGGCATCGCTGTGGGCGACGGGAAGCCCAAGGCATTGGCCGCTGCTGATATTGTCGTGAGCCCGAGCACTCAAGATGGTGTTGCTGAAGCCATTGACTTTGCACTTGGGCGACTTGCACGGGACGAAGCTCCAGATTCGCTGTTGTCGGCCTGATGCTTTGGCGTGTATGTTTTTTCCTCAAACGCGGAGATGTCGTTGGCCTATCAACGCTGTTTGTTCCCATTGAGATTCCAATCGCTTGCCGCGTCTTCGAAAGAATACGGCACTCGAGCTTTCCCGTACAACCGAATGCAGTCAAGCTCCGCATATTTATGTGCATCACCGGTTGCACCACAACACCACTACCACGACGACTACTATTGCCACTGCAGCACAGATACTATTGCTGCTGCTGCTGCTGCTGCTGCTGCTACTGCTGCTGCTGCTGCCGCCGCTGCTGCTGCTGCGGCTGCTACTGCCACTGCTACTCTACTGCTACTGCTACTGCTGCTGCTGCTGCTGCTGCTGCTGCTGCTGCTACTGCTACTTCTACTTCTACTGCTACTCCCGCTCCTGCTCCTGCTCCTCCTGCTCTTGCTTCTCCCACTGCTACTGCTACTGCTACCAGTACTGCTACTGCTACTGCTGCCGCTGCTGCTGCTGCTGCTGCTACTACTGCTACTGCTACCACTGCTGCTGCTACTGATCAAGTGGTGGCGCAAGGGAGAGGTTTGCGAGTACGACCAGGCAGCACTTCCTGAATCAAAGCGAGCACTTCCGGTGTTCATTTGTTTCAGCCGACTGTTGCTGCATGCTCACCTGTCGTCGCTTTTACATATCGGCCGTACTCTTTGAAACCCAGCATGCGTCTGCAGTTTCCCAGATGTTTGCCGAGTTTATGGAGATTGGTTGACCTCACAAAAATCCTGGTGTCACAAAAATCCTGGCGTGAGAGGAGGGGGAGTCGACTTCATGCATGTGAAGCCGGCACCAAATGCAAATTGCACATGGTGGTGGGGGGCGGGGCACTCTCACTTCAACCTGTTCAGACTCACCAGCGGAACCACCCTAAGGCCAATCACAGCCCAAGCCCTTCAACCGGAATCCTCCAGAGTCATCAACCTGAAAGCCTACATTTGCCTACACGGTCCGAAATGCAGGTTCGCTTATGATCGATGCATGCTGTAATTATCCCCGAGCCTCCGAGACTCTGTAACTAAGTGGAAAGTGCCGACGCTCTCGCGATCTTCCCAAACAGAAACCCGTTTACTAGGGCCTCGTCTGCGCAACAAGCAACTTCTGTGGTGCGGGATTCCGGGCACAAACTATATAACTCCAATCTGTGTTATTATAAGAGGCACGACGAGAAGATCGTTGGGCAGGCTGTCCAACACCAGAACATTCGACGACATCTTGAATTCACCAGGTTACATAAGGGGTTCGGAGACAGCTTTCAAGTGGCTCACATCTTGGAGTTTAGCTTGGCAGCGGCTTCGCTTTGAGGAGCTGGCGAACGCCATGGATCCCAAAGCCGATCCTCGGGCACGTCAGAGGAGGGACTTTAGGTCTTGGGGTTGGAGGGCTTTGGGACTAAGGGCATTTAGGGGTGTGAGGTATAGTAGGGCTAAAAGTATTAGGGCTTTCGGATCTTTAAGTTCGTGGTTTGAGAGCCTTGATCTGGAAGGATGTAGGGAACCCCACTAGGCTTCACAACTGCACATCTCTCAGATTTGACATGCGAGGTTAAGGGTTCCGGATGTGGGGCGGACGTTCCAGGTTGCAAGTTGGGGGGGGTCATGTCCACGTTGGCCATCTCAGCTCGAACTGAGACATTTGTGTCAAACCCCTGCTCTGACTCTACGATGAGGGACACATCGCCGAATCTTGAATCCCAATCCGTGGCCATGGCACTGCTTTCAGAAAGCCGAGACCCTAAACCTTCGAGGGGCGATGTGTGTCCCGGTAAGATCCTGGAGCCGACCTTGAACTGAGCAAGCCCTGGTAGTGCTCCCGAACGCAAAACAACTACGCACAAGTCCTCCGTTGGGACTCTGAAAGAGGAACGGACAAGTTGGCATGGCTTGTGCGAGGGATTGAAGTTCTCCGTATGACATGCACACAGGAGCCATTAGCAGCAGTTCCGGACAACGGGTGCTGCCGGCCCATTGGCTTATGGATCCTTATAACCTGCCCAAGCCCCACCAAAGCACGGCTGCAATTTTTTGCACATCCTCTGCTGGCCAAGAGATTCACCAGGCGTATAACATCTGTTTACAGTCATTAAATGTCATTAAACCCCAATTCTCTCCACCCCGCCACCCGCCAAGCATCATAACCGATGACCTACGAAATTTAAGGAAAAGTCGGACCTGGAGCCGTTGCGGAAGCGCTTGGAGGAGTTTGCATTGTGTCGGCTTCTTTTTGATATGGCTTGAGTTTCTTTACACCACCTGATTGGAGTCGTTCATCCGGCCGTTCTCTCGGGCGCGGAGGTTATCAAAGGTAGACTTGCAGATGTGGGCTGACTTCGGGGAGAGAGTTCGAGTTGACGCATCGGAATTAGGACTACCTCCCTATCTCTCGCTCGCTCTCTCTCTCTCTCTCTCACTTTGTCTTTTTCTGGTCAGCCTTTGAAGCCGCTAAGGCTCCTGAACAGGTGAGGGCTTTGGTTTCGGGTTTGAAGTCCTGGTTTTGCCCGGGTCTCCTTCCTGGCGTGCAGCGGTTTCTAGTTTCAAAAGGGCCGTACTGTAACTCCGGAAGACGACCATAGCAAGTGAAGTAATGTCAGGCTCTGGTAGATTCGTAGATCTGGATTCATTATAGTTGTTCCCGACTAGTTCTTTGATTGCTTAAACTGTGATCTCTCATCCCCTTGCCGCACAAGTCCGGAGGAGCACCAGGTCACAAAGGCGCCTTTGCTTGTAGGCGTTTTGGTAGGATCTTCCGGGCCAGGGATTTTGGGTTCGGATGCTCAGATGTCCTCACAGAGTTTGGGGATAAGCGCTTGAAGCCTCCAAGCTCTATTTAGGCAGAGAAGCCCGAACCTCCTTTGAAAGCTCCAGGCGACAATGCTTTGAGGGATGTAGCATCTTGGTGCTCAAGCTAAGGCTTCTCACTGCTGCTTTTGTGAGTGTGTCTTAGCCCCTGGGTTGGAACCCAAAGCTGGTCTGCGAAGCTTTGACGCAATCTCTTGAAACTCCTGAAGTCTTTTACGAACTTTACGACCTCAGGGTTTGCGGTCAGGGCTAGAGGCAATCTAATTCTTCGGAGTTTCAAGATCAAACTCACTGAATGATTGAGATGCCATATCTCGACGTAAGCCCACCAGCGAACGACAAGCAACATCATCCATGTCTCCAGTATTTGGCCATTCAGTTCGCGCTGAGCTTTCAATCTTCGACCCTTTCTGGGCAAGGATAGAATCCCAAATTGTAAACCCGCTACGCACAACGGTAGAATCCTAGCTCAAGTCGGTCCCTGGCCGTTGATCAGATCTGCAAGACCACAGACCCCAAGCCTTAGAACGGAAAGTATCCTTCTGGTAAAGAATCGGTAAAGGACCCCCCCCAAGTGAGGCTTAGGTTATGTCCTTGCGCTTTCGAGAGCAGCTCGCAGGCCAAGTTTCAGGTTTAGGGGCTTGTGCTACAGGGGTCTGAACACTTACTGAAACTATTCCTTGGTTCTTCGTATCACCAATCTAGAAATACCCCCAAATCCTATCAAATCCTATTCTAATTAGTAAGGCTCCGAAGGTTGTAGGGTTCAGTTATGTTTAGGGGTGCAGGGCTGGGGTTGAGACAACTTCGTGGCTTTCTTAGGACATGCACTGCCCCTTGAAGAGAAGTGAGCTGGAAGATGGAGCTGCAACGCTGATGATGCGGCGTTTGCCGGAAGATTGGGGCGCACAGAGGATCTTGGAATGGCTGCGGGAGAACGAGATCAAGCTCAGCCAGATGGACTTGTGTTGTGTGTGTGTGAAACACCTGGACTTGGTGAAAACTTTTCACCTTGCTCTGCTTTCTCGTTTGCACGTGGACAGAGGGCTTGCGGAGGGGCTCTCAGTATGTGTTTGAGACACGTCTGCCACACACACCCCACCTGCCCCATATACACACGACCACAGAACAGACAACAGAAACGCATACTCGCCACACGCAACACAACACATAACAAACACATACTGAGAGCCCCTCCGCACGCCCTCCGTCCCTGTGCAAACGAGAAAGACATGTATTTCGGTTTTGTGGTTTTCTGTCGGCTTCTTGTGGCTTCAGCTTCGGTTGCCATGACTGCATGGCGTTGTGTCGTTCGGGTACACGTGGAAGGTGAACTTTTGATGGAGTGATCACTTTGTAGAAGCCCGGTGCTGGTGCCACGACGGGCTAAAGGCATGAGCACGGTGCACCGCCTTCTGCTCACAGACTCACAGAGCTTGAGGGTAGTCGCAACGATAGATAACTTGATGACGGTACACGACCACATAGACTCCCACATAAAGTGCGATGCAGGACTACATGTTACTCTTGTTTGTTTCTTGTTTTAAAACTTATTGGTGGTCGAGCGGCCAACATCCTTTTCCGCTTCTATGACTATGAGAAGACCGCAGTGTTCGTGCAAAGTTGTACGACGCCAGCAATAAGAACCTGAAATAAGTAGGTGGCAGCAGTGAAGAAGAAGATGGTGATCCTTACCCTCCTTTTTGCTTTCCCAAGAATCCTAGGCCTGTAGTATGAGCCCAAACACCTTGCCAGGGGAGCCCAACCGCGGCTTTTGCTTTGGTTTAGACAACCAAAAAAATGTCACCACTCGTAAACCAGCATATGACTTAAATACGACTGTGTTCCCACACGGTTGTTGTGCTGAATATCTTAGTCTTCGGCTGAAGCAAAATTCAACCAAAATCCTCGGATTCATTGCAGGTCGACAGCTCCCTGGTCGAGCAGCTCATGAGCAAGGCACACTTTAAATTTGAAACGGATGTCGTTATTGTCGTTGGTGCGTTTGGGATTCTCGATCCTTCAGGCTTTTCGAAGTGCCTGCACCGCACAGAGCTCTGTGATGCTTCTGTGAATGTAAGTAAGAGTGTGCTTGTGTGTGTGTGTGTGTGTTTGTTTTTTTGCTTTGCTGGAGGGGAGGGATTCAGGGTTCGGGAAGCTTTGACGGCACAGGCCCCA